CCATACGTTGGGTTTCATCAGCCTCCTGCACCACCGGGCAGGGCGGGCTGAAGGCGAGGAGCTCTTTTCTGGCCGCCGCGTTTGTGTACGTCTCCACCCGAAGATGTCTAACCACAGACTTCCTCTTGACTCCTGGCAACAGAGAAAACAAAACCGCAGCAGCTTTCATTGCTGAAAACACAAAACTGACTCGTTTGCCTAATAGGCCCAGACGGAGGAGCTTTATTTCTGGGAGGAAATGCCCAGGACTGCAGCCCCAGGATCTCTCGGGTGGGCAGTCACATCGCCGGGCCGTGCCAGGCACTGGCCAGGTGGAAGGAAGCTGCCGGCCCAGGGGCTGGGCCCTGAAACCCGGGAGCCCGCTGCGGGGCATCGGGGCATTGGGGGACACACATGGAGCGCCCCCCCCCCACCAGCCGCCCCCAGATACCGTTGGCCTCTCCCGCCAGCTCCGGTTTCAAAGCACCTGTTCCATGTGTTTTGTGTCCCTTTCTCTTATTTCCCGTGTTATTAATTGTAGCTATTGATCAATTTCCATTTTGTACTTTCCTTTTTTTTTGTTTGCTTATTCTGTCCCATTTCTTTTTTTTAAATATTTTATTTATTTATTCATGAGAGACACACAGAGAAAAGCAGAGACACAGGCAGAGGGAGAAACAGGGTCCATGCAGGGAGCCCGACATGGGACTCGATCCCGGGACTCCAGGATCATACCCTGGGCCGAAGGCAGGCGCCAAACCGCTGAGCCACCCAGGGATCCCCTGTCCCATTTCTTATGATGTGCTTTCAGCTCCTTTATTTTCAGTGTTCCTTCTTCAATAAAGGAGGCATTTCAGGCCATAATTCCACCCCCCTCTGAGTTGAGCTTTTTTTGGGGGATCCCAATAAAATGTTCCCCTTTTCATGTTTCTAGATGTTTTTGATTTTCATTAAAAAAAAAAGATTTATTTATTTGTTTGAGAGACTGGGGTGGACAGAGGGAGAGAATCCCAAGCAGACTCCCCACCGAGCGTGGAGCCCAACACAGGGCTCGATCTCACGACCCTGAGATCACAACCTGGCCAAAACCAAGAGTCAGATGTTTAACCGGCTGAGCCACGCAGGCACCCCTAATTTTTATTTTAATATTTCTTTTGATCCATGGGTTGTCTAGAACTGTTTGTTAATTCCCACGCAGTTAAGAATATTGTCAGCCACGTTATTTTTTTGTTTGAAAATCCTGGATTGGGATCCCTGGGTGGCTCAGCAGTTTGGCGCCTGCCTTTGGCCCAGGGCATGATCCTGGAGTCCCGGGATCGAGTCCCATGTCGGGCTCCCGGCATGGAGCCTGCTTCTCCTTCTTTCTGTGTCTCTGCCTCTCTCTCTCTCTCTCTCTCTCTCTATGTCTATCATAAATAAATAAATAAATCCTAAAAAAAAAAGAAAAAGAAAATCCTGTATTACAGTAAGATGTTGTGACCTATAAAATCTCTAATTTTGAACTAAAAAAACCTTTGCCTTTGTGTCCAAGGATGCGATCCAATTTTTATAAATATTCTATAGGAAAGGAAAGGCTGAGCTGGTCGGATTGATGTCTGCAGATAAATCGCCCAGTTTTAGGTCTAGCATCTATCTGTTTCCACTGGTGTGTCCACAGACGAAACACAGAATTTTTTTGAGAATTTATTTTCCATCTTTAAAATGGGAACAATAGGAATACTCAGCATATGTCAGCATTTCTGTAAAGATGAGATTGTGGAAGTAAAGATGCCTAGAGCAGCGTCCGGCACAGGGTGAGCACTTACTAAATAGAAATATGCTATTTTTATTGTTGGTTTGTTATTTTTGCAGAAAGGGAGGAACCTTTACTGTTAGTGCCCCAAGCTTCATGCCTGCCCCAGTACTGTAGTTTCTGGTTATCGAGAGGCCTGGAAGATAAGAGGAAATGCAGAGCTCTATGAAGCCACCACCCTCCCTGTGAGGGGAGCCACCTGAAGCCTGGAGGAATGAGGCCACTTGCCCAAGCAAACACAGCAGTTTGGTGGCAAAGCCAGGCTTCAAACCCATGTCTTCAGTGGCCAGTCCCTCTCCCTCTGCCGGCAGCCACTCTAGTGTCTCCCTTGAGAGAAGAGGCAGCTGATGGAAGGTTGGCCTCTGTGATGAGGGAGGGCTGGAAGCTCCTGGTGTGTGGCCACCACTGAGCTTTGTCGTGTTCCACCTTCACCATCTGGGAAGGGCAACTCTGAAGTCAGTGAATTCCAGGAGAAGCTAGAAAGAGAGGGTTGGTTGGGAGTAGTTGGATGCTCTGGACATTGCTGTTTCATTGCTCAGTGGGAGCAGGGTCCCCCAAAGGTGACTACACCCCTCTCGGCCTCAACCCTCTGTGCCCATCTGCCATGCCTCCCTAGCCCTGGGCTGACCTGACAAGGGCAGGTGCTCCTGGGGACCCCATCTTCATCTCTCTGGCAGCTCTCTGGAGCAGACCTCAGGGGCAGTAGCCCTGTGTTAATGATTGGGGTGGCTCGGCAGCATGGATCCGTTCAAGGACACTGGAGGGGCTGAGGTGACAGCTGAGTAGCCCTGTGGAGGCCTAATAGAGAAGTAAAGCAAAAGAGGATGTGGTACTGGCTTGCCTGCCAGCTGATATCTGAGAGACACTGATGCTCCACTCTGGTTCACAAAGAACCATGGGACCTTCTCTGCAGTGGGAGGCTTGGGGGGAGGGGAAGAACCACTGAGCAGAATTACAAGGCAGAGGGTGGCCGAACTAGCTGATTTGGACCATTGATCTTGGGAGCAAGACCACTGACCGGCTAAGGATTTCCTGTGTCCATAAGCATAATGTAACCATGCGGGGTATGGACCATGGGTGAATAAGGATGCCTGCAGCATACGTGGACAGGTCCAGGCAGCGGGACTCTGACTTCAGATATGGTATGTGCTGTAGGCTAAGGCTTCCACGAGGTGCGGCCTGGGAGTAGGGGCTGATTCCAGTGACTCCTCCATATAAAATTAAAAAAAAAATTATAAGGCCCCTAATGATTATTATGAAAAGTAAGTAAGTCAATGGTTGCAAAAATGCTTTGTAAATATGAACACAAATGCAGAAGAAAGTTGTGGTGTGGAGAATTTGGTCTGAAAGTGCTAGCTGATTCTTTACTGTGTTCCTAATGCTTTGTTAGAAGCTGGAGAGAAATCAAATGGGGTTAAGTCTTGTTCCTCCATTGTGGGGACAGTGGGGTTTCCCAATATGAAATGCTTTGCAAACATCATCCCTTCCCTGCCTCTTCCTTTGAACACACTTTGATTAAGCACCTATTATAAGCCAGGTTCTGGGCTTGGAGCTGAATACTGTAGTGATCAGTGCCTACTAAGAGACAGGCATGAGCACAAGGGTAGGTACCGAGCTCTGTTTGGTAGCCAGGGATTGTCCTAGAGAAATGGAATCGTTCAAGGGACACCGGGCAAGGAGGCAATGAGCAACGAGCTCAGGAAGGTTGCAGGAGAGCTTCGGAGAGAGGGGACACTTGAGGAGGCTCTTGATGAAGGAGCAGGGGTGAGAAGCGGGATCCTCATGAGGAACCTGTGCAGAAGGAACAGCACCCACAAAGGCATAGAGGTGAGTCACTCACCCATATGAGGGCATCAGGGAAGCATGGGAGCCCAATTCCAAACTTTGATCCCATTGGAAGTCTTCTTGGAGCTCAGAAAAGTTGATGGCCCTAAATGGGATACACACATTTAAAGAAACTCATCATGGTGTCGACACGGAGCAGGGCCGGGGCAGTTTGATCGATGGCGGGCAGAGCGGGAAAGGCACAGGGTTTGAAGCAGAGAATCCTGCTTCTAATTCAGGCCTAGCTCTGTGACCTTGGGTCACTGTGAACCTCTCTGAACTTCAGTTTCATCCTCTCTAAAATAGGGACAGGTGACCTGAACATTCTCTTGGGACTCTTCATCTTTGGCCAGAAGGAGTAGCCACAAGATGGGGTGGGTGAGTGGATAGAGGCCAATTTACACTGAACGTAGCCCCGGAGAGTAGAGAATAGGCTGTGATCTTGGCCCTTGTGGAGTCCACAGTACAGCGGAAAGGTAAGAAAGCAGCCGGTTACCGCACAGTCTGGTCTGAGCTTTGATAGGCTGAGCAAGGCCAGCCCACAGGGGAGCCCAGAGGGTGAGCCCCTTTACCCCACTTGGGAAGTTAGCATGGAAGTTAGCCAAGCAGAGACGCAAGCAGAGGGAACGCTAGGTGGGAGGAACAGAATGAGCAAGGCAAGAAGGGGAAGCCAAGGGCCGTTCTATCCAGCGAAGACAGAATCTGAAGTGAGGAAGGAGAAGGCTGTGGGAGGTCAATGGCGAACTTGAACACTGTGCTAGGGAACTTGGACTTTTTCCCCATATGCAGCAGGGCGCTATCTCACGAGACAAAATATTAATCGGGCTTTGCCACCCGTATGGGAATTGCAAGTGGGCCCAGTGGAGGCAGGTTGCAGAAGTCCTGAAGCCACGGTGAAAGGCGCTTGTCTGGGGGGTAAGCCCGGATACAGCAAGCCTAGAGCGCCACGAGCTTCCACGGACTCAGCGGCCACCTTCCCCACACAGCCGTCCCTTGCTCCAGGGAGGACGGGCCCCCAGCCCTGAGAGTCTCCCGCAGAGCCCAGGTCTTCAGAGCAGCCCTCTGTGGGGCAGCCCCCTCTAGCCGTGGTGGTCGCAGCTGAGGCTGCTCCAGCTGGGGCCCATGTGGCTGCAAGTGACACTTTGCTTGAGCAAAATGATGACCTTGTGGAAAGGATATGGTGGTATTTCACTAAACCCAGGGGTGAAAATTCAGCTCCGCCTCTGAGGAACTAGAATCAGGAACTGTGGAGTGGTGCCCATGGCTCCTGTCTCACTCTCACGGCTTTTCTTCCTCTTTCTCCTCCCATCTCCGGGCCATCTCTCTCTGGCAGGGGAGTGTCCGGCTGCAGGGCCCCTACTCCTCACCCCGGCTGCCCTGGAGAGGCCGAGGAGGGGCTCGGGGAGGGGCCTGTGGCTAGGAGACTCCTCGGACCCGCTCCTGTGCACCTGCTGGGGGTGTGCTCGGGCGTGGGGGCTGCTGGCGCTGCCTTGGACCCCAGGTGCTGTACTGCGGAGACCTTTGTCCTGAGGTGGGGGGTGGCTAGGGTGGGTCATGGGGCTTTTGGGCGAGCCTGCCCACCAGATGCACAGTAGCCAGAGTAGCCAGAGTCTGCAGACACCTCCGTTTACCTCTGCAGGAAGGGAGTTCGACCAAGAAAGTGAAACCCAGAAAAATCCTCATGTTTGCTCTTGTGGATGCTGAACGCAGACAATTAAGAGCCTGAGAGGAGCTTGTCTGTGGGGTGTGGGAGGGCTGGGCCTTTTGCGGCAGGCTTGCGGAGCGGGCTCAGAGCCCAGGGGCCTGGCAGGAGGAGGCTGCTCCTGGGGGAGGCAGCTGAGGCCCTGGGCTGGAGGCTGACCGGTGAGGGGTCAGCAGCCTGGGGCTGCGGAGGGGCCGGGACCCCTGGCAGGGGTGGGGGTGGGGGCTGCGGTTTTCCTTTGTCTCAGATTCCCCGCAGACCTCACACCGCAGCAGCCTGAGAACCAGAAACCGTGTGGTTGTTTTCCCCAAGTGTGGAGGGACCTTAGCCCTATCCCACCTCTGGTGTTGCCAGAACCTGGGCTTCCCGGGGGTTCTCGTAACCCCGGGAGGCTCTGGCGTCATCTTCATGCAGAACGGGGTTCCCTGGATTGCTCGGAGGCCAGCTGTAGCTGGTGGAACGTGAAGCAGCATGGGCTGCTGGGGGTTGACTGTGGCTCCCACATCCTGGGAGGGAGGACGCCTCGCAGGGGTCAAGCCGAGGCCTCTGGCCCCCACACACACACCTCAACTCCCGGCACTCTTGCTTACGGGTGGAAATCGCAGGCAAATGCCTTAAATCCTGCCAGGTCTCAGTTTTCTCGCCTGTGCAAGGGGTATAATGACGGCTCAAAGAAAGGTGGTGGGTCAGGATCTACGGAGGCACCCGGAGATGTACTCGCATGGGGTGAGGGTGGGCTGCCCAGTGCTACCAGGGTCCCCGCTTTGGCACATCCCGCAGGGCCTCGACCCGGTCCCGGGTGCTCTAGTCGTTGGTTTCCATGTTCGGTTAGAGCGACCCTGATGTGCCAGCCGTCCCCACTCTCTCTGTGCTTACCCCCCCCCCCCATGCTGCAATTTCTGGAATTTCACTGGGCTCTTTCCTCCTCTGTCCGCAGTGCTCGTGAGAGCTGCTCTGCCAAGACCTCGCCGCTCCGCAGGCTGCAGCCCCATCTGCCCTCCTTCGTGACAGCTGGGGGCAGATCTGAGAAAGGACTCACTACTTTGCCTCCAGTCCCCGGGCTCGGAATGTCCAGGACTCCGTGGGAGAAGGAGGCGGCGTCCTGCAGCGCATCACGTCTTGGTGCAGCTCTGTGGTGCCCCTACAGTGCCCAGCTCTAGTGGTGTGACCTTGGCTTGGCCATGCCTCAGTTTCCTTGTGAGTCACATGGAGATAATGCAAGCTGAATATTGTGTCCACGGGGCTGTTACGAGACACACAAAGCATGGAGGCTGCCGCCCGGTGCCTCTGGAGGGCTCAGCAAAGGTTGGACACCTCTATAAAATGACCTCCAAAAACACAACTTTTAATGACCGTGTAGCCTTCTATTGTGTAGGTAGATTATAATTTGTTGAGCCAGCCCCTTGTTGTTGGGCGTGTAGGCTGCTTCCACTCTTTCGCTCTTATAAATAATGCTGCAGTGAACATCTTGTACATCAATCTTTCTGTTTATCTCTGATTGCTTCCTTAGAAGGACTCCCCAAATCTTGCTCGTCTTAGAATAAAGCCCCGTCCCCTAGGCTTTTCAATGATGCCCCTGGAAATAAAAGCAGAGCCCATTTTCCACCAGGGGAAGAAACATATGGAACGTGTTAACCAAGAGGTGGTTCAGGAGGAAGGTAGAAATAGGTTCAAGATGGGTTTGGATCCCTTTCAGGATGTCTGACACAGAATCAGTCATACAGCTCCCCTCGAGCCGCCTCCCCGGAGAGAGGGAGGCAGAGGCTGATTCTCAGGGGCCACTGACTTCTCTCTTTGAGGGAATTCCAAAGGGCTTTGAAGTTCTTGGTGTTGGAGAAGCACCGATGACAGATCAATCAAGGAAGCCAGTGTGTGTGGACGACTCCTCCAGCCAGGAGGGGGCAATATCGCCTGCCTCTGCCATCCAGGTGGGACCAGGATTTCTTGCTAACAAGGACTTCCTTTGTTGTTGTCTTAACACTTTGGCTAACATTTTATATATTTCTCTTTTGCCTGTTTTTCTGCCCTTCCTCCCACCTCTACACTTTTCAGAATCGCTTTGGGTTGCCATTTATTCATCCTTCATTTGGGAGAAATCTATTGCGTGCTTCCCCCCAGGCCAGACATCAAGACTGTTTTCAGACTTTCAAAGACCTAGACACCCTTGCTCTGGAAGCTCCAACTCACACAGATCAAGCATATTGCAATTCACCCAGATTCCATATTAAGTGTATTTTTTTTCTGTAAAGAAAAATAAAGATTATTTTTATAACTTTGCTTTTGGAATTATTTGGCGACAAGCAATTCATTCGATCTATGCCTGGCTTTGATTTGTCAGCAGTTAATGGCGGTACTCAAAGAATTCTTGCAAAGTGAGAAAACCTAACCTGCACATCGTTTTCAGATATAATGAAATTTTTATGAATTTTTATGAATGCTAAATGAAACCATTAATGGCGGTTGATGTAATATTTTGTTTTGGAGATGTTTCATTAAAATGTTATTAATTTCTATTGCAAAGTTTTTCCTTCGAGTTTCGGCTCCAATAATTTCGTTTTCAGGTCTCAAACTCTCTTAGGGATCTCTGAAAAGTTCCCAGTGCCCAGTGGCTAGCAGAGCCCTATCAGGCTTGGATACGGAGAAATGAAAGAGTTGGTACAGTTTTTACAGAGTTCCCAGGCCATCGAGTGACAAATGGGCAAACTACTCTCATAAGAGTAAGTTTCGCTATAATGGAGTGTGATCAGGGCCCGGTGAAAGCATTATCTGCTCTAAGCTGGAGCCAGAGGGGGTCAAGGAAGAGTTCTAGAGAGCAGGTGTGCCCAAGCCAGAATGTGAATGGTGAACAGTTTTCTTTTTTCTTTTTCTTTTTTTTTTTAAAAGATTTTATTTATTTATTTGAGAGAGAGAGAGCAGAATGAGAGAGAGAGAGTGTGAGTGGGCATGAGGGGCAGAGGGAGAGGGAGAAGCAGACTCTCCACTGAGCAGGGAGCCCGATGTGGGGCTCAATCTCAGGACCCTGGGAACAAAACTGGAGCCGAAGGCAGACTCTCAACCAACTGAGCCACCCAGGTGCTCCTGGTGAATAGTTTTCTAAGCAGGACCCAGAAGGGAAGGATGATGCAGGCAGAGGACACAGCACATGCAGGTGGACTTGGCCGGCAAAAGATCCTACGTATGGACAAGCAGGCCGGCCACTCAGTTTTGCCCACACTGATCACTAGGGCCTTGTTCTTCAGACGAGCAGCTCTGCTATTATCCAGGAGTTTGGGAGAAACGCAATTTCAGGTCCCCTGGACCTCCTCCATGTTGACAGGATCCCTGGCGATTCAAATGAACCCCAGGTTCTGAGAGGCAGGGTCTAGTTCCAGCTGGATCTAAGCCAGGCCTCCTCGGGGCCTGGGGCCTGGGGAGGGTGACTGGTGGTCGGCCTGCAAAGCTGCAGCCCCAGACAGAGCAGCCGTTGTTCCAAAACTTGTTTTCAAGTTTGGCCTGCACGTCCATCTCTGGGGACCCAGACGGTTCAACCATTGCTGGAGGGTTGGGCTTTTCTGTTTAGAGACTCCTCCCACACTGTCCCTTCTACTGGCCCTCGCTCCAGACGGCCTGTCTTGCCCGTTGGCTCCCTGAGCCGGCGCATCACCGATTACCTAATAGACTGTAGGCTGTGTGCGTAATTTATTTCTGTGAGTAATTGATCTTGTTAGGATGAGCAGGGGAAGTACCAGGAAAGGAAGGGAGAAGAAGCATCGATAACCAGGGGAAGGAAGCCTGTCATAGTCAGCTAATTACGTGGCTCTCCGAGGCAGGTCTTTCAACACGATGGCCCCTCTCGCTGCTGTTGGCCCACCGCCCCCTCCCCTGCCCCTATGAGTGGACGGGCTTTCTGATGAGTGTGGAAGGGGCTGTAGACTGAGCCAGGACACTTAGCTCTTAGGCCAGGCGATCTTAGGCAGGTCACTTCTCTTTGGGCTTCCGTCTTATGGACTGTAAAATGGGAAGGCTGAACCAGTGGTTTCCAAACATGGTTGATAGCAGAATCACCAGAGATACTATAGAAAACATAAACTCCAAAGTCACTGATACCCTAGGATACGGAGTGAGGCCAGGAGCTCGTGCTATACCGAGCAGCTCTCGTGACTCCAGTGCAGTCGGTCTGAGAAATCGGGAGACCGCTGGGTTGGAAAGATAATCTTAAATGCCCCCACTCTGACATTTTCGGGTCGTCGATATGGATGGACTTCCCTGTGACCTCTTTGGAGCATCAGGACAGTCCTGCAGAAAAGAGACTAGAAGTGCAGGCGACCCATCATCTCCTTCTGGTTCTGTCGCCAATTCTCTAGGTAGTAACAGTCCCCCCCGTGCCTCACCTAGCCCTCCTTGATGCACGATGACATCACCACGGTGCTTTCACCTGAGCGCCAGGTCACTGGGTGCCTGGGGAGATTTTGAACTATAGCTGACCCGTTTCCATTACCTCTGGGCTTCTGCTTCCCTATGTCTGGGGTAGCTCGGGATGCTGCGTGTTAAAAGACAGGCGGGTGATTCTGAAGACCAGCCAGGTTCATAGCCTGTCCAAAGTCATCGCGGGATGGGACACGGGTGTACCCCGAGACTGGGCGGCACCCAGCGTGAGGAGGCCTCTTGGGCCGTAAAGGGCAGATCCTCACTCATTTGTGGCCTCCGTGTGAGTCTAGACAAAGCCAGCCAGTGGAGCACTCCGCTTCATTGCACCAGAGCAAACGGGAGACCCGTGTGCAAACCTGGTGCTCTTACTAATAGGGCAACGTTGGGCAAGTCTCAGGAGCAACATGAGTCTATTTCTTTGTCTGTGAAATAGAGAGTCAACAGTAACTCCATCTATTAGACGGAATAAATGGAACAGCTTGAAGCCTGTGCTCGGTGAGTGGTCACAGTCCGTGTGAACTATCCACCTCCTCCCAGCTGCCCGCACCTGCCTGTCCTGGGACCGGTGGGAACCAGGCTGGCTGAGTCTCAGCATCTCTCCCTGCAATGGAAGCAGGGCTTGGAGGGTCCCCTCCTGCCCCGGGCCAGGGGGCCAGCAAGGAGACAGATCCAGCTTTCAGTTCAGGTGGAAATGTCTGGAACTCCTCTGCTTTGCACAGCCAGCTGCTCGGCCCAGTGCCTTCGTGTTTTCTCTCATCTTTTGGAGCCTCGCACGATAGCCCTGGGTCGGCAGGTGCCTGCGAGCTGGCTAGCCAGTGAGGCTGAAGCCAGTTCGATGAAATCTCTCAAATCTGTCACTTTCTATCCCCCCCCCCTTCGTCATCACCTTCATCACCCTACCTTCAAGGGACTGGTATTGCCCTCTGAGATGTGCTCTCATAGCAGCCAGAGAAGTCCTCTTATGGTGTAAATTTGGTCAAGCCAGTGAATTTTGTCTGGCTTCCCACTCTCACCAAGTAAGATCTAAACAGGCATGTGAAGAATGCCCTGGAATGGCTTCTCACTCTTTTCGCACAAGCCTTGTGCTTCTTCCCCTGGTTTCCATGGCCCCGTAAAGCCCGGCTTCTCTTTCTCCTTACATTCCTTGTGAGCTGGAGACATTGCTGTGCCTTCTCCCAACCTGTTGCTGTCCTTCGGTGCACGTGGCTACACGCCGTTCTCCAGCTCCTCTGCAGTGAGGGGCGACCAGATCTTTGAGCTCCAGTCCATGGGATGTGGGTGCAAGTGACATACACCACCTCTGGCCTTGACCCCCCAAGTATCCCAAGAGCTTTTTCTTTTTGCTCTTGGCTGCACGCAGAGGATATAATGGACCACTCCAAGGAGACCGTAGGGGACAGTAGGGAGCCTGGTTTTGAATAAAGACCACCAACCAAACGCCTGATTGGTAGAAACAAGAAGGAATGAACCTGTATTGTCTGAAATCACTGAGATTCGGGCTTGTGTGTCTATTGGCCTGACTCCTGGCCTGTTCTCAGCTCCTGGAATATGTTGAGCCATCTTTCTTTTGCCAGGCTGTTCCCTCGGCTTGGAATGCTTTTCCCTATCACTCCTCACGTGCTTGTGTCTTTAGCCTCTCGGTCTTCATTTAAAAATCACCGCCAGCTCTTAGTTCTTGTCTCATTTTTTAAGAGAACATTTTACAACTTGCATGTCGTTTCTCTTAAATTGATTTTCATTGTGTTCCCCGCCCCCCCTTAGCATACAAGCTCCCAAGGGACAAGAATCAAGTGTGTCTCACTCCCCTGTGTATATCCAATGCCTAACAAAGTGTCTGACAAAAAGTAATCATTTAACGACTATTAGCTGATGGATCAAATGAATGAGTGAACCAATTATGTATGATTCAGTTCAGTTCAATTCAAATATTTACTGGGTACCAACTTGGTGCCGGGCACTTTGCACATATATAATGCATTCGCTACTCAATCCTCATTAAAATCCTAGAGGGGAGGTAAGATCATTGTCCCCCCCGCCTTACATAGAGGGATCACGAGGCACTGCCAGCAACCATACCCCAGATCCTTTGCAGTGGCGTCCTCCGGCCCCCATCTTATTTCTGAAAGGTAAGTACTATGATCTCCGCTTTGCCAAAGGAAAGACACGTGCTCAGACAAGACTGGGTCACTTTCCCAAGGTCGTGTGGTTAATGAGGTCATGGAGTGGGGATTTAAACCCAGGTCCAGGGGGAGGGAATGGAGAGAATGGGGACATGCCTCTCTTCCAGTACTATTCTTCCTGACAGCCTCATTAGAAGTCCCCAAAGGATATCCCAAACGTGGGTGGAAATGAAGACGTGCAATTTGTCCAGAGTCCCCTGAGCTTGGTTTGCAGCAGGATTTCATTTGGAATGCGGGACCCATTGCCCCCTACGGCGCCTGGGATGAGGGGGCACCACTTTGCATCCCGGGAATACAGCTTCTGTGACCTCGCAGGAGCCGGGCTGTGCTGGCCACCACCGATAAGCCAGAGGCATGAGTGCCCAGGTTCATCTGGGGAGAGCGGCTGGCGCTGGTGATAGGCAGAGCAAATCTGTGATTAATTATGGCAGATGAAAGGATGAAGTAATGACTCCTTCTCGAGGGCTGGGCAAGCTGAAGAGCCTCACTCTCTGGTTGTGTTTGGAGACTGCACAGCCCCCTCTGAAACCAGCAGTAAACTTTCATGGCTGCAAGTTCTGTGACTTGGCGGGCTGCGGATTGGATGGCGCGTAGAACTCATGAATCCTCCGGGGTGGGAGCTAATTAGGGTGCAATTTTTCAATTACGGAACATTGAGCGAGCCTCTCCCCAGACCCCCACACCATCCCTCAATGGATACA